AATAATGCCAGACACGAAACCACCTGGATCTGTGGTTTGGTGTCTGGCATTATTTAGGGAAATTCTCAGTCACTATTGACTCCAATATTTCTTCTATTTCTTTCTCTTTCTTCTACTTCTTGTATTCCCATTATGCACATGTTATACCCTTGTAGTTTTCCCATAGTTTTTGGATAGTCCGTTCTGTTGTTTTATTTCAGTTTTTGTTCTCTTTGTTTTTCAGTTTTTGAAGTTTCTATTGATATATCCTCAAGCTTAGAGATTCTTTACTCAGTTGTATCCTGTCTACTAATAAACGCAACAAAGGCATTCCTTATTTCTGTTACAGTGTTTTTGATCTCAAGCATTTCTTTCTGGTTGTCTCTTAGGATTTCCATTTCTCTGCTTACATTGCCCATCTCTTCTTGCATACTGCCTACTTCATCCTTTAGAACCCTCAGCATATTAACCATAGGTTTCTTAAATTCCTGGTCTGATAATTTCAACACCCTGCCATATCTGGTTCTGATGCTTACCCTATCTTTTGAACTTGTGGAGTTTTTTATCTTTTTTTTTATCTTTTTTTTTTTTTGCCTTTTGATATGTCTTTTTTTTTTTTTTTTTTTTCTTTTTTTTTTTTTTTTTTTTTTTTTTTTTTTTTTTGCCTTTTGATATGTCTTGCCTTTTGATATGCCTTGTAATTTTTAATGTCTTGTAATTTTTAATGAGATGATGTACTATGTAAAATGAACTTCTGCAAATAGACCTTTGATAATGTGGTGGTAAAGTGGGGTGGGGAGAAGAAGCATTCTATGAGCCTATGATTAAGTCTTAGTCTTTATGTACTCTGAGTTCTTTGGTATATTTCAAAATGGTTCCTTTTTCCTTCCCGCTCCTGAAAGTGTGAGAAGATTTTCCTCCAATATTTACTATGGCAACATGGTTGAGCTCCTGGAGGTAAATCTCATAATATTGTAAAAACCCTTCTATCACTGGGTCCTCCTGGAGTTTTTAATTCTTAGACTTGTCTGCACTGAACCTTCAGCAATTATTTAATTACAGTTTAGATTTTCCTACCCTAGTACCAGTTCCTCTGGCAGTTTCTGCTCATGAGTCATGACCCTGTATTTACCTGTCTCTCCAACCTTGGGAGTAGTAGTTTCCCTGTGTCCTCCCCTATCTTACAGATCCAGTAAGAGTTGTTGACTTTTTCAATCTACTCAGTTTTGTAGTTGTTAGGAGGGCATGGATTTCCAAGCTGCTTACATGCAGAACCACAAACTAGAAGTACATACATAGCTTTTAACAACAACAACAACAACAACAACAATAAAAATGAAAAGAAACACCATAGAGGCAAGAAGGAAAATATTCTGAAGGGGCATGTCAATCATCAGAACCAGACTCAGGTATGAAATGGGGAGAATGCTTAATATATTTAGGCTTTAACATAAAAGTAGGCAACATGCATGACCAGAAAGGTGGCAATTTTAAAAAGAATCAAAAGGAAATGCTACAAATAAAAAATACAACAACAGAAATGAAGAATGCCTTTGACAAGTTTGTTAATAGAATGGACACAGACATGAATAGAATCAGTTAACTTGATGATAGACCAATAGAATCTTTCCAAACTGAAATACAAAGAGATAAAAGAATTACAGAAAAAAACCAGAGTAGAACATACAAGAACTGTGGAACAATAGCAAGAAGTATAACATATACAAAAGTGGGGCCAGGCTCAGTGGCTCACGCCTGTAATCCCAGCACTTTTGGAGGCCGAGGTGGGCAGATCATGAGGTCAGGAAATCGAGATCATCCTGGTTAACACAGTGAAACCCCGTCTCTACTAAAAATACAAAAAATTAGCCAGGCGTGGTGGCGGGCGCCTGTAGTCCCAGCTACTTGGGAGGCTGAGGCAGGAGAATGGCGTGAACCTGGGAGGTGGAGCTTGCAGTGAGCCGAGATCATACCACTGCACCTAGGTGACAGAGTGAGACTCTATCTAAAACAAACAAACAAACAAAAAACATAACTGTAATACCAGAAGGAGAAGAAAGAACAAATGTCACAGAAGAAATATTTGAAGACATAGTGGACAAGAACTTTCCAAATTAATGACAGATACTAAACTACACATTCAAGAAGCTCAAAAAACAGGATAAACATGCACAAACATGCACTACACACACACACACACACACACACGCATATTATATCTAGACATATCACCTTAAAAGAGAAGAAGACCAAAGACAAAAAATTCAATCCATTTATCAAAGTGTCTACAGTTTCTGAATCTAGAGATATGAAACAATAATAAATTTGCAAAGGAAATTTTTTAAAAAGCAGCCCATAACATTGGTGAAGCCAATGTGCACATAAGGTTATTTTATGGAGGTGCAAGTAAGATTATTTTAGTATCAAAGGAACACATATGATAAAGAAATGTTTGGAATATAGAAAGAGGAGGCAGGAGGAAAGTTTTGGAGGTGATGGATGTGTTCACTACCTTGATTGTGATGATGGCTTATAAATGTATGCATATCTCCAAATCCATCAAATTGTATATATTAAATATGTCCAGTTTTTCATATATCATTTACACCTCAATAAACTGTGAAAAAATATAGAGAAAAAGAAAAGGAAAGAAAGAAAGAGAGAAAGAAAGAAAGAAAAAAGAAAGAAGAAGAAAGAAAAGGAGGGAGGGAGGGAGGGAGGAAGGCAGGAAGGAAGGAAAGAAGGAAGAAAGGAAGGAAGGAAGGAAGGAAGGAAGGAAGGAAGGAAGGAAGGAAGGGAGAATATGTCCAGTTTTTCTATACCATGAACCTCAATTAAAACTGGGTGAGTGTGCAATACAGGAGAAAGAAATGTTGTTGTTATATAAAGAAAGAAAGAAAAACAGTAAAGAAGAAAGTTGTTGAGCAGGAGGAGTGCAGAGTGAAGGCAGGGGGCTAAGGAAAGGCTGAAGCAGCTAGCTGGCTAGCTGAAAATAATGAATAGCTAGCTAGGGAAGGGAAGGAAGGGTAAGGCTGGGGCTGGCCAGCTAAAGGCTGAAGGGGCTGGAAGCAGCTAGCGAAAAGGAAGGAAGGAAGGAAGGAAGGAAGGAAGGAAGGAAGGAAGGAAGGAAGGAAGGAAGGAAGGAAGGAAGGAAGGGAAGGGAAAGCATGGAAGGAAGGAAGGATTTGAATAGAGTGATAGAGTCCTCTTACCAGAATTTGTTCTACCACTTACAAGATAAAAGACATCTGAGTTTTGCAGAGAAGATTTGTGTGAAATACACATAGAGTAATTCTATTGCCTCTGTTCTCCAGCAACTTTACATCATTGTCTCTGTGGAGACGGCCTACTGCTTCCTTGATCCTGTTCATAAGTGTGAGAGTTTACAAAGCCTCTAAGGAGTTTTGTAATATACATATATTCAGTAAATTATTTTTGCCTCAGACTGTAAAGGAAATTTGTTTCATATATAAACACTTTGGAATATAGGGAAAGCATAAAGAATCCAGCCACCCATAGATAACCATTTCAATATATTTTGGATACTCTTCTCAACATTTAAGAAAAAATTTTGCACACAAGATCATATATCATCCAGTATTGAATCTATTTTAGTTCATTTAGTGTTGCTATAAAAGAATATCTGAGGTTGTTAATTTATAAAGAAGAGAGGTTTATTTGGTTCATGGTTCTGCAGGCTGCACAAGAAGCATGACACCAGCATCTGCTTCTGGTGAGGGCCTCAGACTGCTTCCATTCATGGCAGAAGGTTAGCGAAGCTGACGTGTGCACAGATCACATGGCAAGAGAGAAAGCAAGCAGGGAGAGGGAGGTACCAGGCCCTTTTTAACAACCAGCTCTCTTGGAAGCTATCAGGGTGAGAAATCACCTATTACAGTGAGGACAGCAGCAAACCATTCATGAGGGACCTGCCGCAATGACCCAAACACCTCTCATTAGCCCCACCTTCAGTGCTGGAGATCAAATTTCAACATGAGGTTTGAGGGGACAAACATCCAAACTATAGCAGAATCCTAAATATTTCTTTGCTACACATTATATAATCAGGGCTTCCCCTTTTACAATTTAAATTTCTTTGTAAACACCATTTAATGATTGATTGCCCAATACTGGAGGGTGAGAATCATCATATGCATCCTAACAATTTCTTTATTGCCTTTTATTTTATTTCAATAGTGCAGCATTGAACTTTTTGCATATTTGGCCACATTTAACACATATTGCTAAATTCCTTTCACTAAAAACATATAATAGTGCTATACACTGTATTCATTATAACGCTGATTAGTTTTTTTTTTTTTTTCCATCCTTTAATCTCTTTAATTCACACATCTGTCCTTTGTATAAAGAGGTGTTTTGGTGAACCCAAGTTGTTGCATCAATGACATTCCACAGTATTAACACTAGAAAGATTGAAGTCACATTCATGAATTATACAAGAAATATCAAAGTTTCATGAACTGATTATTCTTCTGGCAAGTTAGGGTTGGGTCTCATATTATCAAACTAATTTTTAATGCCTACTAAAATTCATGCTTTAGACAATCTACAATTAAAATTGTCCCTTGTTAGGTGGAGAGCAAAGACTTATTCACACTGAATCTTCCATGCCTTGTATAGCACTGGGCACAGAATGGCATTCAGTGTTTTGAGAATGAATGAATGGTCTGCCTCTTGTCTTTGATAACAGTGAATATCATGCTAGGAAAACAGGGGCATGTAACTTTTACTTACCAAACTCTATGAGTTGCATTGAGCATACTTCTCAATCACGAGCATTAATTTGAGAATAGTTAGGAAGGAAAGTGGAGTCTCTGGGGCACTTGCCTCTGTTTGTGGCCTCCTGTGCAATCTTAGCCAAATAACAACCTTTCCAGGCCTAGGTTTACTCATCTTTTAATATTACAGGATTTTATGCTTTAAAAATTCTATAAATTACTACATATTTGCAAACCTAGATTAACTGTGACAGATGGTATGTTTGAGGAACTATTTTTTTTAAATCCTTTTTATTACTCTTTTAAGAAATGCAACAAGAGCCTTACAAACCATCCATTTGAAGAGCAAGCACAAAGACCAGCTCTGTTTGTGGTGCCACCACAGTTGCAGAAAGGAATATCAGGCAGTCAGAAATGAATTGTGTTTCAGTCACTCTGCATGGTTGCTGCCACATATGGAACATTTTTAGGCCAACTTTTCAAAATTCCCAGTTAAGGTAAATGGGAAATTAGATGATCTTCATTAAGACTCCATGGGTGTGTCTGAGCTCCTGCTACCAAAAGGGCCACTAATAGATGAATTTCTTGCACTCCTGAGAACATGCCTCTCTCGTCTTCCAAATGCTTCATTTACCGAAGAGACTGTGCTTATATCCCAGACCCAAAGCCCTTCTTTTTGACCTCCAAAGGCATAAATAAATGGCAAATCAGGGCAACATGAAGAACAGAAGAGAACTCCCATTTTCATGTCCCTAGAATGAACTAGACTTGGCCTATCTCCTAAGATGTCCCAGATCTTCACATATTTGTCAACTGAAGCAGTCACGAGACAGCCCTTGATTTGACTGCTAAGATCAAGACCAGAGATTTCATCATTGTGCGCATTAAGTGTAAAAATTGGCTTATCTGAACCTGCATCCAAATTATACACAAAGCCATCATCTGTACTGGCCAAAAAATGACAAGGTGAAAAGTGATTCCAAGTCACTCTATCTGCCTACTGAATCGCCACATTCGGTGGCTTTCATCTGGACTTCGGCAGTCATACAAAGCCAGAAATCAGAGTCTGTGCTTCAAATGGATGAAACTGCAGCGTTTGGACCTTGTCTGTTGTATAGTGAGGCTAGCTGCTGGTTTCCCCAAGGACATATCCCACAATTACAGTGTTGTCCGCTGACGCACTTGCTAAAACATTTCTGATTAGCTTATTCCATGAAAGGTCAAGAACAGCATCGGTATGCCCTTCTGCTGAGAAACTCTTCTTTCCTTTCTTTTTCTTCTTTTTTGAAAGTTTACTTTCGAGTGTGAAGACTGGCTCTAAAGAGTCCACTATATCAAGGTCCCACACTTCAATAACAGGGGTCATGTTTCCTACAGCAATGTAATTTCCAGTAGAATCATCTGGGCTAGGATCAAAATTCAGCCATTCCACACTCAGAGGATATGCAGACAAGAGTATATCCTGATGTACACAAAAAGAGTCTTCTTCTTGATTATAAACATGCACCTCTAAATTGCACTGGTCCTGTTCAGCTCGGCCACAAACTATGAGATTATCACTGGGCTTAAGCAAGAAATCTTCAAGTTCCTATTGTTCTGTATCTTTCAGAGTAACGTAAGGATCTTGATCATTACTCCCGTAGACCGTAAGACCCAAGAGAGATTCACCAAGAGTCTCAGCATCTGGGTCATCTTCCTCATCATATTTATATAAGTCGTACTTAGCTCATCATCAATGAGCGTCCTGTCGTCCTCTGGGTCACCATCCTCCAGGGGCTCTCTTGGGCGTGCCTGGGTGCGTGCACTCTGCATGCCATCTTCTGAAGGACTGCCTGTCTCCTCTTCATCAATGCCACCACCCACCTTCTTCTTGCAATTTCTCCTTTGCCTCAGCAATGAGACGTTTTACTTCTTCTTTACTCAGCTCTACCTTGTCTGGTGTCTCTTTGGCCATGCCGCAGCGGACCCAGGCCACATACCTCACCTGGCAGCTGCGGTTCATGACCCTCAGGTCAAGGGCGTGTCAGGCTAGAAACTCGGCCGCAGCATGACGGACCACAGCCACGCTGCGACCACACTGTCCGGGCACCGCACGGGGCCGCTCACGCTGAATAGGTTTTAACTATTGATAATTTGGTAGCTGAAAAATATCTCATTGTTTTGGCTTAAATAATATTTATTTGATTATATGTAAGTGCATATATAATTATATGCACTTTATATTTAATACTTTTGTAAGTATTTTAAAATTTGCCCTGAGAATGTATATGATTCACACAATATATAATTAACATTTTAAAATAATTAAGACAAAAAGGAAATGGGTAGAAAAAAATAAAATCAATATTAAGAAGTTAAAACACAGAAGGAACACCATTAGGTGAACCATCAATATGACTCTAAGCTTTCTAGCAGCCAATTTAAAGAGGAAAACGTAAGAAGATAGAGTGTACATTGGTGGCGGCCAGAGGCCAGGGAGCATATGGGGGAGAGGTGGATGAAGACAGGTTGATTAAAGGGTACAAATATACAGTTTGATAGAAGAAATAAGACCGAGTGTTGGATAGATCAGTAGGGTAACTATACAATCTATTGTATATTTCAAAATAGCTGGAAGAATACTTCCAATCTCATTGGGTATTGTGAATAGCATTGCTATGATAATGAGTCTGCAAATATCTCTTCTCGAAAGACTCTGCTTTCGAATCTTTTAGATATATATGCATATATCAAATCTTTCCAGCATAATGACAAATATTTAAGGTGATGGATATCCCAATTACAATGACTTGACCTTTACAAATTATGTGAATGTATTCAATTATCATATGTACCCCACATGTTTGAACTTTGGACATTTAGATAATCTTGATTTGTATCTTCTCAATTTTTCAATAATTTCTAGAACTACAGGAGAACTCATTAACTCTGTCCCTTCTCTGGATTTCGCACACAAAAAATTGCCCCTGTTTTTTAATTTTTTTTTGTATTGTGGTAAAAACATATAATATTTATGTTTTTAACTTAAAATTGTGTGTGTTTAATATGTACACTCTGATGTTTTGATATAAATAAACGGTAAACTGATTATTACAGTTAAGCTAATTAACATATCTATCTCTTCACATAGTTACGTTTTTATGGTAAGAATACGCAAGATCTAATCTTTTAGCAAATTTCAAATATCCACATATGTATTAACTACAGCCCCCATGCTGTACATTAGATCGCTAGAAATTATTCATTCTACATCATTGAAACTTTGTACACTTTGACTACCATCTCTCATTCTTCCCCTTCTCCTGTAACTAACATTCTACTCTCTGCTTCTATGAATTCAACTTTTTAAGATTCCACATGTAAATAAGATTATGCAGTAATTTTCTTTCTGTGTCTAGCTTAATTCACTTAGCATAATGTCTACCAGGTTCAACCATATTGTCACAGATGGCAGGATTTTCTTCTTTTCTAGGGCTGAATAATATCCCCTTATATATACATTGTTAAGTAAGTTGACCAAAACCATGTAACCAGTAGTGGAAGAAGGAGATGATAAACCCAGGACTGTCTAACTCCTGAGCAAAGCACTCATAAGCACTATAAAATAGTGTAGCTAACATTTATTGAGTGTATACTACGTGCCAAGCAGTAAGTTCTTTAAATATGTTATCTATTTTAGTTCTTATGACAAACCTGTAAGTTAGATTGGTACAAATATCCATGTTTTACTGATAAGCAAATCACTGTTATTAAGGATGTTATTTGCCATCAAAACAAAGGAATTGTATCATTAGCAGGAACAGTTGTATCTCTCATAAGCAATTGGTTTGTTATGACTTTATGGTCACTGTAGACCATGGAAAATATTTACTAAGTGCCTTCTATGTGCCAGGTCCTTGTTTAATGTTCTTCAGAAACATAAAACAAAACACCCAAATATTTCTTCCCTTTTGAATCTTATTTTCTAGTGGAAGAAATATTCTGTAAATAACCATATAGTGCATTACAAAATAAGAGTTGTGTAGAAGAGAAAAATAGAGCATAGCAAAGTGGATCAGAATATTCTTGGGGTGCTCACTTGAGCTAATGCTTCACTCTGGGGGAATTAGTCATGCAGCTGTATTATGGAAGAGTATTTCTGTCAATGAAAACAGCTGAGAAAAATACCTAAAGTGGGAGAGCAAGCCTGGTATATTTAAGGATCTGGAAGGAAGCCAATACGACTGCAGTGGAGTGGCTGAGAGGGTGAGGCGATTAGATCATAGAGGTGATAAATTAATCCAGTTAGACTTTATAAACCACTGTAACAACTTTAATTTTCCTCTGAGTTTGATAAGAAATATGGAAAGATTTTGAGTAGAGAAGTGACATGAGATGTCACAGGATATCTCCAGATGCTGTGTGGAGAGGAGACTGCCTGAGACAGGGTCAAAGTAGGGAGACCAGTTGTATTAGTCCATTTTCATACTGCTATAAAGAACTACCTAAAACTGGGTAATTTATGAAGAAAAAACGTTTAATTGACTCACAGTTCTGCATGGCTGGGGATGCCTAAAGAAACTTACAATCATAGTGGAAGGCGAAAGCGAAGCAAGGACCTTCTTCACATGGCTGCAGGAGCGAGAGCGAGCACGGGGGGAACTACCAAGCACTTTTAAACCATTAGATCTCATGACAACTCACTCAGTATCATGAGAACAGCATGGAGGAAACCACCCCCATGATCCAATCACCTCCCACCAGGTCCTTCCCTCAACAGGAGGGGATTACCATTCAAGATGAGATTTGGGTAGGGACACAGAACCAAACCATATCACCAGTGAAAATACTATTATAATGGTCCACATGAGCAATGACGGTGGTTGGAACCAGAGTGATAACTATAGAACTGGTAATAAATGACCAAATTTTAAACATATTTTGAAGATAAAACCAAAATATTTTCCTTCCAGATTGGTTGTATATGGAATGTGAAGAGAAAGAAGGAGTCAATGATAATTAAATAAACAACTAAATGTAAACAGAATATTTAAAATGATAACAGCAGTTACATTAGTGTAAGATTATAGACTTTATTTTGTTCTTCATTCTCTTATATATTTTCCAGTTTCCTAGATAAATATAAATGGTTTCTATAATTAGAAGGGAGTAAATATATTTTTTAAATAAAACAATATTGAATCACCTGTTTTTCAAATATGAGGTTGGCGGCCAGCTGTGATGGCCCACATCTGTAATCCCAGCACTTTGGGAGGCCAAGGCAGGTGGATCACTTGAGGTCAGAAGTTTGAGACCCTCCTGGCCAACATGGTGAAATCCTGTCTCTACTAAAAATACAAAAAAATCAGCCAGGCATGGTGGTGGTGCACGTCTGTAATCCCAGTTCCTTGGGAAGCTGAGGCACAAGAATTGCTTGAACCCAGGAGGCAGAGTTTGCAGTGAGCCCAGATTGAACCACTGCACTCCAGCCTGGGCAACAGAGTGAGACTCTATCTCAAAAAAAAAAAAAAAAAAAAAAGAGGTTGGCAAATATTTAGAGAATAGTGGCCAGTGTTGGTGATAATGCAGTAGAACTGGCATTCACACATAGCTGTAGCATTATGAATTGGTAAAGCTATTCTGGAGAGAAATGTATTCATGAAAGTTTTAGAAATGTTCATATAGTCACATATCAATGATTCCAGTTTTAGGAATTAACTGCAAAGAAACAATCAGAGATTTACTTTAATATTTAAAAGCAAAAATATTCATGTTTCATATGCAATTGTAATTGGAAAACACCTGAATGTCCAACAATATGGAATTCTTTTATTATATTAAAAAGAATGTAAATCCACAGTTAGCATACTTTTCTGCTCTTACCAAAAAAAAAAAAAAAAACACATCTTTTTGAATAATATTTTCATGGCATTAGGAAAGGGTAAGGAAAAACCACAATTTAAGGAATAAAATTATTTTTAAGATTAATCCTAGAAAACATTTGTAGATGTGGGAAGCCTGAGGACACTCCTCCCACCAGTGGCTAGATTCTCACGTGGAGGAGGTAAAGCTATATTGATATTCATACCTAATATAATGACACTGCGTTTTGCATGAGAAAAAAAACTGCATGGGGCAAAAACAAACCCCATTAAAAATAAGCAAATTATTTGAACAGGCACTTTTCAAAATAAGACATACAAGCAGCCAATAAACATACAAAAAAATGGTCAGCATCACTAATCATCAGAGAAATGCAAATTAAAACCAAAACAAGACACCATCTCTCACCAGTCAGAATGGCTATTATTTAAAAGTCAAAATATAACAGATGCTGGCAAGGCTGCAGAGAAAAGGGAATATTTATACACTGTTGGTGGGAATGTAAATTGGCCCAGCCTCCATGGAAAGCAGTCTGGTCATTTCCCAAAGAACTTAAAACAGAGCTACCATTTGATCCAGCAATCCCACCAAATACCCAAAAGAAAATAGATAATTATTTTTTCTAATTTCCTACTCTTATTTTAAGTTCAGGAGTACATGTGAAAGATGTGCAGGTTTGTTACATAGGTAAATGTGTGCCATGGTGGTTTACTGCACAGACGAACCTATCACCTAGGTATTAAGCCCAGCATCCATTAGCTATTCTTCCTGATCCTCTCCCTCCTCCCCCACCCCGACCCTCCGAAGACCCCAATGTGTTATTCCCTCCCCCATGTGTCCATGTGTTCTCACCATTTAGCTCCCACTTATAAGTGAGTGCACGGTTTTTCGTATTTAGTTTTCTGTTCGTGCATTAGTTTGCCAAAGATAATGGCATCCAGCTCCATCCATGTCCTTGCAAAGGACATTATCTCACTTCTTTTTATGGCTGCACAGTATTCCGTGGTGTATATATGACATTTTCTTTATCCAGTCTGTCATTGATGGGCATTTAGGTAGATTCCATGCCTTTGCTATTGTGAATAGTGCCTCAACGATCATACACGTGCATATATCTTTATAATAGAAATATATATACTT